TGCCTCCCGAGTTACGGCCGGGGCGTCCGGGAGAGGATGCGGCGCAGCCACCGAACGGGCAGCCCTGTAGCCGAGGGCGGTCGGAGGCGCGGGGCGGGGGGCATGGTTTCTTTTGGAGCTACCTTTTTCGCTTTCTACCCCCGGGCAGAATGGCTGCGGCGGTGACAGGTAAGGCCGCTTTCCTTCCGCAGGCTGTGCGGAAACGCGCTGGGTATCCTGGAGATGCCTTCTGGTGCCTTTGAAGGCACAGCCGTAGCTGCTTGAAGGTAGATTTTGCTACAGGCTTTATTGTAATCGCTTCATCGTCCTCTCCTGCGCAGGTCTGTAGGGGACAGGAGAGAGATACAAGCGCCAGGTAATTCTTAAAGGCTCACGAATGCGGTAGGGAAACTGGAAGCCTGGAGAAGGATGTTGGCTTGGCTTCTCCGAGCGTGCTGATGACCGGTAGCCTACGGAAGGCATCTGTGCTTTTCGCTGAGATAAGAACCCAAATGTTCTGTCGCTGCAGTCTCTGCTCGGGCTGTGATGCTGAAGTCTTCCTGGATTTTTATGAACGTGACAACATCAAATGCTGAAATCAAAGGAGAAAAGCCCTCAAAACTCTGCTCTGAAATCTCTTTGCATTTGTAGACTTCTGAGGAATTGGAAGGTCTTCAGAGGAGGACATAAAGACAAAGCAAACTAAGCAGAAAATGCTGCAAATGTGTGTTTCATATAGCCCTGGAACAGTGAGTTTGTTAACGCTCAGGCCATCGTTGTCCTTGGTGGTGAGGAGGCGGAAGACTGGGGAGTTGGTTGAAGTAGAACCATAACGAGTTTCTAAAGAAAACAAATTTACTTTCTTTAATATAGTGAGCTGAAAATCTCCACTAGGGAGCTGCTGCTTCATAGCATGTATGATATATTGGGTGGAAAACAAGTCTCTTGTCTTGGAATACCCATCTCTTGTGTTCTTAATCCACTGTGAAAGTGGAGGTGGGATGCTAGGTAAGATGTACCTTTGACTTTGATCCCATGTTGCCATTAAGGAACTTCACTGGGTAATAATCCTTTCTTCTTTACCAGCTGTCAGTTTCTTTTTCTTGCTGTCACTCTGTATTGGGTACAAAATTTTTTTCTTCCCCAGGGACATTTTTCCTTGTGCCCTGTTGTAGACTCTCATAAATATTTTTTGCTCGCTTATCTTCTTCCTTTTCTCATATTGCTTATTTTATCAAATTTTTATGATTTTTCTTTTACTGCTATCATCTCCGTGCTGTGCAAGACCTTCTTGGGCTTATGCTCATGTTTGGACTTGCTGGTAGGTTACATCTATCAGTGGTATAAAGAGAAGTGCTCCCTGACTGCTGGTTATTTTTTTTCCTTCTTAAACTGGCAGCATGTTGCTGATAAAAGCTCTACCTATGTAGAGAGTGTGATTTAGTATAGTATCTATACAAGAATACATTTGTATTTATACTGACTTCACAAATGCAGGCTGGACCTCAGGACGGCTTGGATGGGGCAGGGATACAATAACACATCATGATGTAATCACTAGCTCTGCTGGAGTAACAAATCTCTTTTTGTGGTGAAATACTGAAACATGCAAATGTTTAAATTTTTCAGTGCACTGTAGGAACATAGGGGAAAAATTAGTGCTGGTGTTTTAAATCTTGGATTTTTTGAAGGGGCGGAAAAAATGTCTGTGGAAGACAGGCAAGGGAAAATTGGAATTTAAAGCTGTATTTTACAGGATCCAAGTTTACCATTCCTGTGAAGGGTTTTCCGAAGTGACACATGAGGAGGAGACAAACCCTGGTTCTGGGTTCCTGAGAACAAATACTCTGGGAAATCTGCAGTGCTGTAACTAAGGAGTGGAGTTGTATGCATAAGGAACATCCACTTAATGGGTTTGCAGTTAGTGGCACTGAAAATGATGTGAGATGGAACGATGGTTACAGCTGATAGAGACGCAGCCTGAATTATGTGAGGGTGATAAATGGGTAACTTTCTGATCTCCAAGTTTAATCTTTTGTCCTCCTAAAAAAACCTGGCCTTTGAACTTTCTGATATGTGTGCTTTTGTTGTTGGTTTTGGTGGTTTTGGACTTATTCTGACTTGAGTGAAAAGAGAGATTCCTGATTAGGCAAATAAGTGATTTCCTCTAGCTGATGTCAAAGCATTTGATAAAGGACAAATATTCCACATATTCTGCAGTTCAGTTTTGTTTCATGGATACCTTGTGTGCTTTGTGAGTGCAGCAAGTAGGGGTTTTAATTACAGCTTCAGAACAGCAGAGCCCAGAGTTTGAATATGCAGCCTTGCGATGCTGTTCCTTCTTCCAAAAGAAGGTTCTTCAAATACAATTCTATTTATGCGTCTCCTGTTTTTCAGGGCTTTGCTCTCTGCCTGAATTATGTTGTTCAAAATGCTGATGACTTTCCTCAAGGGAATTTGTAGTGAAACAACTTCACGTGTAGCTGAGGAGGTTTTTTCCAGTGGAAGATATTAATTTACCCAAATGACTGAAGGAGCTGTACTTCAGTTATTGAATCTGAATAGTATGAACTCAAACTTTAGTTTTGCAGGAATATAGACTTTGCAGGCAGTCTTCATTCTGTTAATTTTTGATGGTGGTGGTGAACCTAATATAATACAGAAGCTTCAAATTCCTTTTCAAAACCAAAATAAATATTGTAGGTAAATATTAGCTGGGAGTGGGTTGGAAAGGATTCTGGAGAAGGAGGGTGTGGAGTATCGTGGAGAGCAGACTAAGGAGAGTTAAGGTTTAGTGCTGGTCGAGAAGTTAGGGGGAGGCAGAGGTATATTGCAGTAAAAGGAAAAAAAGGGTCTTCTGATTCTGTATTTTTCTGTTGTACTTCATGTTGGGCATCCAGCCATCTCTGAATCCCCTCTCAAGCTAGGATTTGGTGATCCCGACCAGAACATAAGTTTGATACCTTGAAGACTATGGAATGACATATGATTGTGCTTGATAGCAGTGCAATGTTGTGGAAGAAGGGGGACTGGCTGTAGTAATTTGAAGATGGATCTGGAGCAGAGCTTAGGTGCATGGCTTGTGGGTTTAAGCGAAGCTTGGGACTTAGCTTGAGTGTGTGACTTTGGCTATGTCAAGAACATGGTCTTTGCTTTGGTGCAGCTTTACCAAAATACACCCAACTAGTTCTTTCCTTCATTTTCATGAATTTTTATGCAGGTGTATTGTACAAAACAGATGCCAATGACTGTGTAGTCATGATTTTAAAAGCTTGTGCTAGCTCCAAGGTGGCAGTTAGGGTTATTTTGGCATGTACTTCGACTCCTTGCTATGTTGCTTTCAGCACTACTCTGCATTCTCAAGTGGTACGTAACTTCTGTATTGCTGATGCTTTCTACCGAAAGCTTCTGGTACTGTACTACTGAAAGGACAGAACTGAAATCAGTGGCTTTACTTAACTCAGACAGTGACTGCATGATGTTGAGCTGCTACGTTGTTCTGAAGAAGCCAAGTAACTTCAAAATGCTTATCGCTATTTTATATGTAAGAGTGCATAGGTGTTGGAAACCCCCATGGGAAGAGGAATGTATACCAGTGTTGACTGCTTGACTATTGACTCTTCTGCTTATGTGTCCTCCCGCTTGAGGCAGATGAAAACACAACACGCACTGGGGATTTGGTGAGATGAGGTTGTGGTAGATGGTTGAGACAAAGCTTGTCATCGGACTGTTAGTGTACTGTTATGTGTTTGGTAAAGATCAGAGGCATTCCTTTGGACCAGGAGCTAGAGAGAACATTTGGTATTAACTGTCGCAATATTATTAGGGTGCGTATGCTTTAACAGATCTGAGGACTGACCTCAAACATTTTTACCAAGGTGCTCAAACTCTGGGAGCTTTCTGGTGTTTGTCATGAGGATAAAAACTAGAGTGTGACTGCAACTGTTTTCCAGATGATAGAAAATTATCTTTGTTATCCGTAGGCATGAATGGGAATAAATGTGACAGTTTGGGATGCCTGGAATCAAGATCTGTATCTGTACTACTTTTTCCTCATCAGGAGAGTGCTGTTTTCCTTTTGTGAGAGATGACTAGCAATACTAGCAGTAAAAACTGACCTTGGCACACTGGCAGGAAACATACCTTCATCGTCAGAGTTCCAAATTTGCCCTTCTTTCCAGGTATCCCAAGGATCTGCCAGCTCTCACTGCTTTATTTGGATGATAAAGTTAAAAAAAAGGCACATACCAGATTTCAAATCTACCCGATTCCACTGAAGCATCAATCAAACCTAGAAAACAGGTTTACTCTAGCAAAGTAAAAATGTGGTTATTTATTGCAAAATTAGAAAGTTACAGAAAGGTAAAGCCAACAAATACGCTCTCAGTAGATATGTGTATGTGAAACTTGGAATTCTTTTGTAAATGCAATTTGAGGTCTCTGTGTTACAGTTAAAGAAGCTGATGGAATGACTCAACAGCATTTCAGTCTTTGAAGAATGTGTTTCAGAACAGAAGTCTAAAATTAGTGAGGAATGAGTTAAAGCCCTGAGTATTACAGGGTGCTCAGGCTAACTGCTTCTCTGAGACTGCTCTTGTTCCTTTTGTAACAGTGGATCGCAATTATTTTTTTCTTCCCCCCCCTTCTGTCTCGTGACCTTCAAGGCCATCGTGTTTAGTTGCATCTATTTTTAATGGCAGGTTCATCACCAGGTCTTTAAAACTGTTAAAATGCTTTTAATGGGCATTTATTTAAAAATGTATGGCATACTTGTGTTAGTTCTGAAACTAGAAGGTGTGACGATGTCTAGCAGCCATTGCACATAAGTATCCTGACTTCCATGTCAAGGAGATAACTGGCTGATAGTTGGACAAGCTAGCGACAAAGCAGAGAAGGCATTACTGATCGTTGTAGGGTTTTTAAGTACTACTTTGTTAGAAATCGTGTGGAGAACTAGATAGCAGGATTATACTGACTCGAGATTTTGGGGTCGAGGAGGAAACCTTTACTGATTGAAAAACCCAGGCTGCCTCTAATCTTGAAACTTTCTTCCCCAAGCCTGAATAAATCTTACCAGCACTCCTGTAGTGTTCACTAGCCATCCCTAGGCAACCCTCCTGTTATTTGTAACTCTTAACAGTTGATTAAGGACATAAGACCTAAACTCCCGATTCAGGTATGTGGATAACAGTTCTCAGCAATGTGAGGTAAATTTCTACTTTTGTATTTCTTTCCTTGTTAACTCCCTGTGGGGCTGTGCAGGGTCAGGAAGCAAGGAGCGTTTCGCACACTCTTCTCTGAGATTCACGAGTCTCTCTGGTAATGCTTTCATGCTGCTTCAGAGAGGACAATAACATTAATTAACCAATTCTTAGTATGCTTGGACTTGTGGTATCACGTGGGTCAGCATGTTGTTGGTGAGTAGAACTAATTAGCAAAGCCTAGTTGTGGGTTTGTCCTGTTGGTCTTCAGCTTCGCTGCTCTGCGCTTCCTAATGCGCCCACCAAGGCAAGGCAACGCGTGCTGGGAGCTGGGTGGGCGCTGCTGGCAAGCACAAGTAGGGCCTTTCCCCGGTAGCATCTTTTTCTTTGTCTCTCTACACCATCCTCAAAACTTCCAGAAACATAGCCCTATTTGGAAAACCAGCTTTCTTGCTGGCCCTGAATCTGGCAGGTGGGTATAATGATTCTTAAAGTAGGTGACCAGAAGTGGGATGGTTGTGTAAGGTGAGGCTGAAAAAGGGTAACTGGCATTGAGATAGAGTTATTCCACTAATAACTGGAACCTTTAGTCTTTCATCCACAGCAGACCATCTGTAATTTACAGAGGGATAAGCTGCTATGTGCAGAAGTGAAACCTGCAAATTCCCCTTGGAGTGACCAGGTTGAGGTGTCACAGCCAGAACACTCCCAACTAAATGAGTTTGTTTACAATATTTCAGGCAAATAACTCTAGTATGCAGAGAGGTGGGTGAGTCCGGATTGCTGCTTTGAGTTTTGAAAATCCCCACTTGATGGAATGTTATGAATTAGGCAACCATTTCTTTTAACATAGCTTCTCGGTAGTGAATCTTAACTCAGCCAGGAGGTAAAAAAAGGCTTTAAGTCTTCAGTGGGAGGTCTGGTTGCAGATAGGTAGTCTTGTGAATCTAAGAAGGTAACTGTGACATTACAGCTCTAGCTTCTTTACGACTAGGAAAACCCCTCACTTCTTTCTTCTTCCTCTACTTTCTCTCTGAATCAAGCTTAGTTTCACTTTTTCTCAGAGGTAGGAGTGCGAAGTAAGCTATAAAGCTGTGACTTACCAAGGATATATAGCAGTGTTGGTACATACAAAGTAAGAACTATTCAAATAAAAATAGCATAGACTGGTGAGAAGGTGACATTTTTAACAAGTACATTTGTTTGTAATTTATTTTGTAATACTCAGGTTAGATGTTTCTGAGACCATACTGGAGATGCTTTCAGACAAAATGGAATAAAACTCTAGTCACAGAGGATCTTTGGTTTCTGCTAGTTGGTCTTGACAGTATCTTACTGGTTTTGGTGGCAGTATGGCGCTGAAAGGATTTTTTTAATTAGGTGCTTTTTCATATGGCGTAAATGCTGTTGAATTCTAATATAATAGAAAAATCTTTCCGTTCCATGGTCCCAAAAGAGTCCCAAAGTATTTCTTAAAAATTCGTTGTCGGGATGTCTCATTACATTTTGAATATTTAGTATTGAAGAATCGAAGTATTTCAGTCTTTTGTGTAATTTAGTATTAAGTATCTGAACATTTTTCTATCTTTCGTTCACACATCCAGTGTAATTGTGCTATGGATTCAGTTTCAAACTTAATTGAATGTGTCTCTTCATGGTATTCATGTACTTGTCTCCAGCTGCAGCTAAAATTCCCAAACTGACAAATAAAAGATCTGCTTTTCCTGAGTTGCATGTTAGAACTTCAGCAACTTCAAGATGTGATGTGTATAACTTGCCTGTTTGGGTTTTTTTGCATGGCATCCACATCCCACCTCACTATGTGGTATGAGGAGTGTAGGACCTCAAACAGTAAATTGAAGTTCATCTTGTGTTTGAGAGTTTCATGAAGTAAATAGAGGGTTCTTTACTAGTAAACTTTGTATCAAGTCTGCTATGCCTGAAAAAAAACCCAATAGGTTTTCCTATAACTTTGCTCACTGATCTGAACTGAAGAAGCCCAAATTACCATCAAGCCAGAATGCCTACATTTTTATTGTGGTGACTGACTTTTTTTTTTTCTTTTTCCTCTCCAAACAGGAACAGGAAACACAGTGGTGATAATGGTTGGCTATCCAAAAGGAATAGAGATATTGGAGCCGGTACGAAGAGGGATTCCAGTAAAAATGACTATTGTTGTTGGCACGCGACATGTGCAGGAATATATTAGTGGTCAGTCGGTTGTGTTTGTAGCCATCGCCTTTATCACCATGATGATTATATCGCTTGCTTGGCTCATATTTTACTACATACAACGTTTCCTGTATACAGGATCACAGTTTGGAAACCAGGTAATTGGAGATGATGATGCTTTAGACTATTTACCATCTTCTCATGTCAAATCAGTTGCCTAACTTTGCTTGTTTATCGAAGCATTCTTGAAGATCTCTGCCTTCTTGCTACTTTACTTAGCTGTGAATGCTACTCAGTAATGGTTAGTGAGGCTAATAAGCAGTGTGCTAATTGGCATCACGAGTTTGGCTAGTTGTAATTACTAGATTACCAGTATGAAGTCGTGGGAAATATATTTAGCCACTTATCAACAACTGAGCAAGGCAGCTTCTTGTGTGATTTGTCACCTAACTTAACTTCCTTTTGACACTAAATATTATTTTCATTCTTCAGTAATTTTTGTTCTGACAATACTAATTTCCCTAACCAGATTTTTTTAAATGCAGAGGGACCATCTTAATTTTTTTTTTCTTAAGACCTGCAAGTAATTAGGGCTAAAATTTTGGTTCTAAAGCTTTATGAAAACTGCTTTTGATCCTTGTAATCCTACTACTCCACTGTAGAGTATCGAATGGCAGCAGACTAGAAGGAGCATGTGTGGTGAGATTCAGCTCTTGGACTATCTGAAGCACTGAGAGTGGTGGGAGTGCTTGGAAGATTATGAAGGAATAACTTTGCTCCTTCATTTACCCCTTCCAAATCCCATTGTTCTTTGATAGGTTAAAAAAAAGTTAGTTTTTACCCCTGAGGAAAGTGTTTAATTGCAGAGTAATTTAGGTTGGAAGGGACCTTTGGAGGCTATCTGGTTCAAACCCCTGCACTCAAAGAGAGCTTACATAGAATTGTTGAGGACCTAGTCCAGCTGAGCTTTTAAAATATTTTAGGATGGCACTTCCCTGTGCTTTTCACCTCTTGCAAATAAGATAGGTTCCTTTCATGACCATCAGAAGCTCTACCACAGTTCTCTGCTAACAGTGAAAAAGAAAGTTGTGCTTGTTGGTTTTTGCAAGTAGTTCTCTGGGTTTTTTTTTTTTTACTCCACAGTTCAGAACAAAAAAAATTGCTTAAGATGACTGCTTATCAGATGGTCTTCCCTGCCTTCTGTTTGAACATGTAGATCTAGCTTTTGGGGGAGGAGGGAAGGGGATTTTTGTTTGCCTTCAGGAGTCTGAGTTCTGATCAGGGCTTACAGGACTCTACTAGGAAAATACTTCATTTCTCTTTTCAGTAACTGAGGATAACGCATGGATAACGCAAACTTCTGTATTGGTTAAACTTGCAGTCTACTTGAAATGTTGGTTCCCTAGAGTCTTTTTTACTAACCTTTAAGTCTCAGAACTTACATTCTGAGAATGCTTTCAAGAAAACAAAATTTTTGAGAAGCATTTATAGAAAAAGGGGTGTGGTTTTGTGTTGCAACAGTTTGAAGAACGTTGCTTCTTCCTGTTATGTTGACTTTAGGATAGTTCACACTAAGGGAAGTTGAAATGCTTTATAAGTAGTTTTAAGAGTGTTTTTTAGGTCGAATGTGGTGTTTCTCAGAAATATGTACCACAGACTATTACTAGATGTTGCCATTGGGCTTGTGAACTAAATGCTTCTTAAATTAAATTGTGTAGCATTAGAAGGTTATGCCACTTTCCTCAATTCTCCTTCTTTTAAAATGGCCATTGAAAACAAAATCATAGAACTATGCAAAATTTGAAAATGTTGTGAATATCTTGGTCAAGATATATCATTAGAAGTCTTAAAAGAATTTTGGAAACAAAAAAGCCACTTCTCTAACCCAAATGTTATTTTTCTTGGCTTATTGACTCCAGTGTAATTAAAGCTTGGGAGTTAAGTATGCCAGGCTTTAAAGCAAGTTACTGTGTAGCTGCTAGGTGAAGGTAAAGATGGGTGTCTTACTGCTAAGCTGATGTTAAAATCAATCTTAAATCTTTGGAAAGCCTCCTTTGTACTGAAGATGAAACAGGACTGTGCACAAAACCCTGAGCTGATACAGAAGGTGGGATAGACTGCTGCTGCTGGTTGTCTGTCCGTTGCTGAGAGAAATTTCAGGCTAATTCTTTTTCAGACAATAATAAAAAAATCCCGATTTTTCAGTACTGTATGCTTGTGGAATTATATAAGTCATTGTAGCTATCATGACAGAGAAAAGCTGCCATTGCATTTTTTTGATTCCTTTACAGTATTTCATCAGAGGGGGCTGCTGCTAGGCAGATCAACATCTGATAATGGGGAGCGTTCAGTTTCTCAATTTCTAGCAGTAGCCAGCACTTTGTCTTGCAATACAGTACTGCTTTCTTTTCTTGCTTCCCCTCTAAGCCTAATTAGGACTGTTACTGTACAGAAGTCCAGTATGGTGTCTCATGTCTGTTAAGCCTTTCTTGTCATCTCCTTTGCATAATGTGTCCTTTCAGTGCGAGGCTTTGTATGATGTGTGAGCCAGTGTTTAACTGAGGGGAAGCATTAATAGCTACAAGCAGCCTTTTGACCTGGTGGCCAGCTGTAGGCTGCCCGGCGGGATTCCACCTTCCCTCAAGCTTGTGCAAAATGTACAGTGTGCTTGCTCATGGGCTTGCCTGACTAGAAGGTCTGGTTATACAGCTGTTGTTTCAGCTCTTTTGCCTCTCAAGCCTAAATTAGGGTCAATTTTCCTGCGCGGGAAGGCCCTTGATGCAGGCAGTCATGATGACAAGGCTACGTATGTCAACTTGGCCTGCATAGTTCTGCACCGGTTGACTTCATTGTAAGAGCACTATGCTTGTAGATAAGGTTTGCTGCTGTGCCCTGAGAATGCAAAACTTGCAGTTCTTCAACATCTGCTGGCTGGAAGTATTCGGTAAACAAATTAGTTAGCCAGAGATGAATCTTTCAGTGTGTTCAGGAGATTGGGTAATCCACATGAAAAGTATTTAAAAGCTTTGAAATTTAACTCTTCAGACTAACTTGTGTACTAATATTTAGAATCTTTATTCTAGGGGCATAGGAAAGAAACCAAGAAAGCAATCAGCCAGCTTCAGCTGCATACTGTGAAACGTGGAGAAAAGGTAATTCAGCACCTCTAGTTACTGCTGTGTGAATTAAAAACTGTTGTAATGACTTCATAGGATTTAAACTAAAATTCTCACAATATAATTGCAGTGTGACTCTTACAATTTTAAGTTAATTTTAGCACCTTTGCTTAGAAGGCTGAGCTTAAAATGGAAGAGTCAAATTTGAACTACTTACAAAATGTAAGGCTGGTTTGTTGCAGATATCATCTGGTGATGCAGAATGTTGCAGGAGACTACAGGGCTGATACTGTGAAGATGAGGAAACACTAATATCTTATCAGCACTTGAAAACATCAACAAGTGGTTTGCAAAATACTTCCTAGGACCTATTGATTGCACAGTTCTTACAGCTGATGTAATGTTTTGTTTCCTTAAAAGAACATCCATCTTTCTATTGATCAGAAGGCCCTAGAAATCTAAAAAGCTTTGAAAAATGAAACACTTGTTTCATCTTTTGACATACAGTACATTAAGGAGCTGCATAGACTTACTTGAAGCATAAATTTTTTAGAAGTAATTTCAATGTATTAAAGCTATTCTAAAAATTAAAACAGCTTTCAAAAAGTTAGCTTTGGCAGCATATAGCCTAAGCTCATAGCTGTATTAGAACTAGTGATGTAGAAAAGGCTAAGGTTTTGAAAGAAAATACTATTGTAGTTGGAGTTTCAGGCAGCTCTGATCCTAGATGCTAAATTAGTTTGAGTAGACTTCTGCTACTACACAGACATTTTTTCCAACCCTTACTTGATTATTTTTTACTTAAGGACTGATTTGCTCAGAGATGAAAAAACAAGGATTGGTTTTTTTAATATATGAATAAAATTAAGGTGAGGAAGGACGTTTGTATGTAAGAACTTTAAAAGCTGTGGTTCAACAGAAGCTGTTCAGCTCAGGTCATGTGCTGCAGAGAATATGTCCTTCATTTAGTAAATGAATTTTGAAATGAAAAAACGCAACTGTCTTTGAACTTGCCTCCTTTCCTCTTATGCATTCAGCATGTTTAAGTAGCATTTTATGAGCGTTTGTTACTTTTAATTATATTCTAAATTCCATCAAAAAGTAATCTATTTCAAGCTGTGAACAGAGGGATGTTCATACTTCTGCTCATACAACAGTGAGATCAGAGATCAAGAAAGATGGAATGGGACCAAAACTTGTGTAAAGCAGTATCAAAGCATAACATCAGCATAGGAAGAAATGGGTGTAAAAAAGGGTCGTGATGAAACCTGTGGTGAGAACCACAAGGAAGCTGTTAACTGCTTTTAAGTTGATGTTCAGTGAACCTCTAAAAAGGATTTGTATTACAAGATTTTTGCAGTGTAGCAGGTAGTTCCTTCCCATCAATATACCCTTGACTAAAATAAATAAATAAAAAGGGGAATTTAGGTAAGTTGTTACATAGTATGCTGGTTGTAACTATGAATGCTGTGTTAGTTAAGCAAAGTAAAATGAGATTAGACTAAAATCTCTCAAATAGAGGTTTTCTGTTTCGTAAATAATGTCTTCTAATTTGATTTGAATCTGCCTACTGTCAGCAAATTTATGTAACTTAATGATGCAGAGGTACTTTCATGAACAAATGTAAATTTATCTGGAAATACAGTCCTGCCTACTCTGCAAATGTGCATTTTTTTCTTTAAATATTTCCTTTCAGCATTAGGATTAAAAGAGTATATTTCCTTTATTGTGACACAGTAGAGTCTTTCATTATCACTTCACTTGGGGTTGAGGTATTTAACTAAAAATAGGTCAATATTTTAAAAGTGTATTTGCTATCGTGTAGATCTTCCCTGAGAAGCTTATGGGATTATTGTAAAATGGACACTCATTTGAGTATGTGCTACATATGGTATGCTTGGACTTGCCTCTTGTACAGAATAAAAAAAAGACTTGTTATAGAATAAATGCTTGTCTTAACTTTGCTTATTTAAAAAGTCTTAATTTGGTTTACTTGGGAATTTAAGGCATTAATTATGTAAATTGATAGCATGCAAAGGAGGGAATAACTTGCCTTGAATTTGAAAGTTTGCTTGCAATACTAAGTCATTTGAGTCTGTGATAATGAAATTGAAGTGCTTTGGTAAACAGTAAACACAAAATGCTTATTTTGTGGGGGATGACAGGGAAGAAGTTGGCCCACTGTCTTTTCTTCTAATACTTGTGCTTTATACAACTCAATTAACATGGAGTTATTTCTGCTGTATGTGGGTATATACATCATATTTGCACTGCAACTTAAAGCATGGCTTCAAGGAGGCAGTAAGACCTTTTAGGAAAGATATTTAACCCTTAGAAAGAAACAAATTGAAGTGGGCAAATACTGTGTTGTGACTGTCTCTGCTGTGAGCTTGGAGAGAAGTTTTAAAAAACATCTGAAACTGCTTACTTCAGATACCTGCTAGGATGTGATAGGAAAAAAAAATCTTGTCCTACTTAAGGACTTGCAAGTCTTTGGGACCATCAGTTAAGAATTAGATTGTGCGCTTTCATCTAAGCTGATATCTTTTAAAATTTGTTTTATAGTTACTTTAAACTGAAATGTTACTGTGCTTTATGAGCAAAGCCAATGTTTGAGATAGAACAAATTACATACATGTGTAGCTATTTAAATTAGAAAATCTGAGTTTGGCTGCTTTTAATATTTGGTTACACTTGATCAAATCACATCATGATGGAATCTTGAATTAAATGAGGGAGATGTTTTTATTTGCTAAACCACTTTATGCATTTGACATTCTGTGAAGCTAGCTATTACACAAAGCTTGTTCTGTAATGAAATATGGATGTAATGCACTTAAATGCGTTGTCATCTTTAGGGTTTAGATGTTGATGTGGAAAACTGTGCTGTGTGCATTGAGAACTATAAACTGAAAGACACTGTCCGAATTCTGCCATGCAAGTAAGTTGCCAGAATTATTTCCTCTTTAGCATGTTTTCTCTAAGAAATACGTGATGAACTTTCTGGAAACTTCTGAAACTCCAGTAGCAGAGCTGAAGCTGTGCCATTTATGTGGCCTTTTACATGTTGAAGGGCACTGGCAGACCATGTAGCACTTCATATCTATGCAGGAAAAAGGAGCAATTGGGAGGAGTGTAGGAGTGAAGCAGAGCTTTCTTAGTATGAAGTTAGAACTGTACACTGAACTGGTAGCTCTGTAATGTCCTTGTGGTTATAACATCTCCCGTTTCAGAAAGCTAGCATGAAAGAAGATGCTTCCAGAACCATGTCTGTCCCAGTAAATTAAGCAGTACCTAATTGTCAAGGTTATAAAGGAATGTTTTTGGGTTTTTTAACATAGTAACTTGGACATCGTTTGAAGGAATAAGTGTGTGGCTTTCATGTCAAGTTCTAAAAGGCATTTCTTTTCTTTAGGCACATCTTTCATAGAACGTGCATTGATCCTTGGCTTTTGGACCACCGAACTTGTCCAATGTGTAAACTAGACGTTATCAAAGCTTTGGGATACTGGGTATGTTGCACACTTACTTTAATCTTCAAGGTAGAAGTACAGTGCAGGAGACAAGACTTCATGTAACTGTTCAGAACAACTGTTCAGTTGTTACTTGACGAGGCTGAAGAAGCTGGGCAAGATGCAAGAGTAATTGAGTGAGAACCAGAAAAATAAGGGAATTTTATGGGTAAGAGCTTAAACAGTGTATCGAGCAGCTTATGAATCCTCTGTGTACTCTTCTGTGATAACCAACTTTTTCTATCTCTAGCTGATCATAGTAAGGAGGTTAAAGCAGAGATGAGGCAATTTGCCAAAGTTGCAAAAAATACAACTTAATTCAGTAGATCTAGAGAATGAGAACTACAATTCAAAGGAAGAAATAACAGTGTTTCTGTCTTGAGTGTTTGTGTACTTCCACATAAGCCCAGTGTTTTATCCCTGTAAATGAGCCAGTACTTAGAACCTTCCTAAAGACATTCACCAGAAACTGGTTAAGTAGAGAAAATGATGTGCTCTCATTTCTTTCTGACAGCACCAGAAAAGAGAGATGAAGACACATGCGGTAGGTTACTTGGTCACTGTTGATAAATAGAGTTCCACTAAAATGCCATAGGCATGAATGTACTTCTCTTCTACGGATCTACAGAGATATTCAGAAAATAGGAGTGTTCCTTGGTTTCAGGGACCTGCCTTTTGTAGACCAGGTCTGCGTTTTGAGCAGCTTTGCTCTTACTTCATTGCAGAGACTTAGCAGATCTATGGAAGACTTTTGTGAATTACTTTTTTGTTTTGTCAAAGGTGACAATACTCTTGCTATGTAATGTATATGTACCAGGTTGTGATGCTTCTGCTATTAAGCCAGACTTTACCCAAGAGTTGCAATATTTTCATCATGTGAAAGAGCTATTATTACTGTAATATTGTTACATTAGCAGCTTATTTTTTGCTTGCTTTCAGTTCTTGGAGTTGATGTAACTTGTGTTCTGTGTAGAAGGATATATCTTTTTTGTATACAGTCTGAAAACTGAAATACTAGGACCTTCAGAACACACTTATTCCCTGAATTCTTGCTGTTGCAGAGGATACTGATACCAAGCCTAACCATGAGAAGTAATACCTCTTCTGCTTGTTAGGCAAAATGAATGTTGGAAAGCAGGTTGAATGGGATTACATTAAATACAGAAGCCCAGTTATTTTTTTCTAGGGGAATGGGGGAAATGTGTCTTGCTTATGCATCAGTCATTCAAGTCCCACTGAAGCTAGTAATGTGGCAAATCATTCAGTGGTTGTCCAACCTAGTTTGTAGAGTGATTGTGTGAATTTTTTACTGATGTGAGGGAAGAAAGTGCCAAGAGCAAGGCAGCCTCTTTCAGCAGCGTGTTTGCTGAATGGCATAACTGCAGACAGGAATGTGAAGCCTTATTACAGGAATCTACTAAACCTTCTGCAAAGAGGTGGAAGGCTCAGTTCAGTTTTATGGAAAAGAAATACTTCAGAATTTTTAAAGGCTCAAAGTAGAAAGAAGGCATTAAGTTCTATCACCTGCCTTTTGTTTTGTAAAGAGCAGGCTTCAGCAGTCTAGTTCTGCATTATGCTATTCCTTACAAGAAGAGAACTGCCATTCAACATGTCTGACTGATTTGGAGCACTGTTGAATCTTGTTGGTTTAGTGCTCATTAACTGCCTAAGTTTTGGAAGCAAAAATCATTAATGCCCCCCACCCGCATACCTAGAGATCAGTATCACATGCATCTTAACTTGCGTTCAGTGGTAGCAGTTCTATAGCTTATTAAAATTCAGTACATCTTAAAATATGCTGCTCTGGTGCTAAAGAAAAGATCAGCCTAGAATTTCTTAAATCTTAAGATGGGCCTTTACTAATTGTTTGAGGAGGGGAAAAATACTCATTTTGAAGCCCATAGAACAGCTACTTGTACTGCAGTATACTTGCTTTTGTATAAATAATGTTAGTACATCGATGGCAATAGCATAATGAAAGTTGTCTCTTTAATTTTAGGAACAGAATTGTACATGTAGGACTTCTAATTAACTTTCAGCATGGATCAGAAATAGCTCATGCTATACAATAGGCGAAATAAATTCCTTTGCCTGTGCTGCAGATGTTTTGTTCCTGCAAAGTGACAAGCCAGAACATTTGCATTTTTGGAACAGACTTAGTTAGGCTGGAGGTGTAGAGGAGGAGGGAAGTTTGTTCCAATGTCAAATGTTTGCTCACCCCAGTAAAAAGTCTAAGGTTGCCCAACTCTATTGTGGAAAAACAGCAGCTTCCACAGACTCATAAAGGATCAATAGGTTTGCTCAGCAAAGACTTTGGATGTGTTGAGCCTGCTCCTAGCCAGACTGCAGCAGTACTGTTGCTACAGTGTTGAAATACTCCATCCTAAAGGCTGGCTGGGTTGACTCCTGCCATTGCTGCTCCGGGCTTTGCAAAAGTGGCTTTTTATTTTTGCTTGGCTTTGTTTCTTTGCAGTCAGGCAATAACATTGAAAGTAGATGCTGCTCAACGCTGTATCCATGAGCACGTAGATAATAGGCCAGAAGGAGGTCTTTTTTCCAATAAGGCGAGCTTACAAAGTGGTAACATGGAGGAATGTTAATGCCTAATGGTAGACAAAAGTGTCACTTAAATGTATTTAATTTTGAAGGGGGACCCTGAAGATGTACTTGAAGTTCCAATACCTGAATCAATAAGTGGCAGTGTTTCAGTTGGAAGCCTGAGTATTGCTTTACAAGATGATGACAGAAATGAAGTAAGCGAATTGTCAGCTTCCTCCACTAATGAATCTGTATTGCAGTGTACCAGTTTAAAAGAGGATGCAGGTGAAACCACAGCGTTACTTGGTAAGTAATAATTTAGTTTCTCACTTGACAATCCTTAACGCCAGTCACTGCATTGGAAGAAGACATCCTCTAAGTGATGTTAGTAGTGTTAGTATTGCACTGCGGACCAGACTGAGTGGTGTCACTCACTGCTTGATGTTCAGAAAATACAAGCAGGTAGACTTTGAGAGAATTCTATTGAGCTGGAGAAGATTGGTCTTAAGAGGGGAGGGGGAAGATGTAAACAGCGTCTTAGGGAGGATTACTTACACAGAGACTCTTGAGAACCATAGGTATATATGAGTGTGAAATTTGTTGCCAGAGTTTGGATTAATGTAACAGAAAATGTATTAAAATAGTAAATCAACAAAGAATTTTTCTTCTAATTCCTGGCTTCTAGATGTGGATGTCAGTAATAATCGTCATGGAGAACATCTATCTAATGGAAATTCCCATTGAACTGCTTCATGGAGAAGATACCGTGAATAGACTGTTGAAGAACTATTATTTTTTATTTAATTAGTATGGACTTTTGTCTAGTTAATGGAAAAAATAACAATGTAAATTATTTTACCTTTCAAACTTTTCTAGCTGGTGTTCCAAAAGGGCTAATAACTAAGAATTTTGTACACAGGAGGATTTTATAGAATCTCCTCTGGATGTCTCATCCTAAAAAAAGATGCAATAACCCTTTTTCTGTAAGCGTTGTTACAATGTCATTGTGTTCCAGAGGGCTGTAACAAAGATGAAGACTAGGCAGTGAAAACAATGTAGAATGTCTAACAGATAAATATTTTGGATGCACTATTTTACATTCAGTATGTACACATGAAGAACACTTACAAGGCTACAACTATTAAAATGTTCTGAAAGTTCTGATCTGTTGTAATTGGAGATGGATATTGTTAGAAAAGACATAATCTCACCTTGAAGGAATCACATAACTTCATGGATATGTTGCATATCCTGGTTTGTGATGAAAAAATTGCCAGTTGCAACTTTCCTTACATGTAACAGATATTAATTTGATCTTGTGAAGTGTTCTACTCGGAGTGGATGCTGAGAGAAAAGGAGATTTTCTCTATCTTGCTAGCTTTTATACTGAATTTGGCAGTAATAGGTTGTGCTAGGTGGTCTTCACGTGCTGAGCATGTAGACTTATTTAGGTATATGCACACTGGTTACCTCTTTCAATCTTAAACTCAGTAGAACAGAGGTAAAGGGCTAATTATGGCTAAAATATATTTATTAGTCTATTTATAAGAATTTACTTAATTCCTTCTTACTCCTGCTCCCATCCTGTCCCACTTCGTTATGTACAAATTGAAACTGTTTCTTAGTATCTACAAAGTTTGGTTTTGTTTTTTCTTTTCCTTTGCATAGAGATGCTGGAATTCTTCTCTTGGGTATTCCACATTAGGAGTTTTGGCTGGGTTCGCCATTAGCTTTTATTCCTTTCTTTTAGATTAGCAGTATTGTGCCTTATAGTAAAACACTTAAGAAACCTGAAGCATCTGAGAGTAAATATAAACCCTGGCATCTCCCATTATGACCTCTTATTCAAATATTTATATACTGTAAGTGGTATAAGGAATTGCTAAACTGTTTTGTAAAGAAATCTGTATATTTAAAACACTACTTAAGAGTGTTAAGTGAATTGTTTAGGATTTTAGCATTGTCATGTTATAATATGCTACGTTCCTCAATTTTCTTTTGTAAAGCTGTTACTACAGGTTGCTTAAAACAGTGTCTTTTACTAGACATTTGTTGTTTTAGAGTGCATTTTGTTTTTAAAATGTATATTTGGAATGTTTTTAAGAAATATGCAATTCTTTTTCTAACTTATATTGAGCTTCAATAGAAGCAATAACTTTTCTTAATTTTAGAATGAATGTTCCAGAAATGACAGAGGTTTCAGCTGGGGAAATATAATCTGAACTTCTACTTTGCAGAGCAGATGTTTCACCCTAAATTTCCTTCAGAATATTCCTATTAATGCTTACTTTAAAAAAAAAAAAACACAAATAAATCTGCCTCTTCCCTGTAGGAGTGTAACTTTGAGGTTTACTGGAAAATTGTCAGGTTGTAGTTCTGATGTCACCAGCAGGTGCAAGTTTTTGTGATGCCTTTATCTTACAAGAAGCACATGAGAATGGAGTATGACTGACCAACCATCTCCAAAACTGAACAAATGAAAAAACCAACCCACCACTAAACCAAACAGTGTAGAGGGACATTTATGTCTCCAAAAGAAGCTTATAAACATTTCCAGAACTGCCTTTTTAACTATCTCTTCAATATTAAAATCTAAGTCTTCTCCCTCTTCCTTAACACAAAACTGAACATTGATGTAGTAAATGTTGAGAGGGTTTAAACTCTAGCTCAAGGAGGAACCAAAAGGCGTTATCAAGAGAAGTCTTGTCAGTCTGTGGATTGTGTATTGCTGATACCTGCAGCGCAATATTCATGCTGGAGGGGAGAAATGTGGTAAGTACTTCAGCTTCTACGTAATCTCTGTAAAACCAGAAGCTTTTCTCCTAGGAGTCAAAGCTGAGATCTGGCAGAAAGCTGGAAGAAAAGCTGAAGAACCTGCAAATTGAAAAGTGTGCTTGTAGAATTTGAAGTGTAAGTAATAGATACCTGAGTAGGAAGATTCCTGGAGTGTGTTTCTAATGCTGGCGCTGTACCGGTTTCATTTCAACCTTTCACAAGCACGTACTTACAGTTGTTTCAGCCAAACTGGTTTGCGCATAGTTTGTCTTTGATATAGTCGGGCCTCGTAAGGCCAGCTGTGCTGCTGAGGAATGATGACAATAAAAGGCCGAATTGCAGTGCCTCCAGCAAGCAGTTTGCTCTCCTGGGAAGCACGATGACAAAAATCTCCTGAAGCGAATCATTAGTCTGACCTCAGTCAAAAAGCTGACATGCATTAACAAGAAGTGGTGGGTTAAGAAGTACAGGACAGGAAAGAGACAATGTATGGAGCTGAAAACAGCAGCAAGTGAGAAGTGGGAATGTGAAGCCTATTACCTACTGTTACAACTCAGATCAATTACTTTTAGAGTAAATGGGTATAAGCAGCTATAGGTAAATACAGGTTCCCAGACTTTGCTGATCTGGACCTACTATATTGGATCAAACTGGTATTTCTGTTTCCTAGCACTTTACCAGCCATTTATATGAAGGTCAGAACTAATGAGTCTTTCCCTGCTATGAATGTTTTTACAAGAGAGCCTCCGCGCCCCCCGCCCGATCTGTGTTCCTAGCTGTGCATTTTTCATAAAACATGCAGGAACTTGTCTCAGACCTCTGTCTCTTTGTCAGATTTTGCTGAAATTGGGTGGAGGGTTTCTAACTGGGGCATTCATGTGGTGTGATTATACAAAGCTAAAGCACGGTGCCCACATGAAATGGGGCAACCTTCCAGTGGTGATGGTGAATAAATCGGTTGGGCAGAATCCCTAGCTAGGACTAGGGGGCGGTGGTGTTGTAGGTTGAGTTTTGTTAGTATCGAGTTCAAAGGTATGGCTTTGTTAGTTCTAATGTTACTGTTTGGGAGAAAATTTTGAAGTTCAAGTGATTTTAAAAAGGAGTTATGAATGTGTTGAATTGGACTGGTGTTTCAAGTGAGAGTAGAGGCCACCTTTGTTCAGAAATCTTAGTTTATTAATAATAGTCTACAAATTCCAAGTGGGAGAATAAATTTGATAGTAAATAACTGTTTAAACTAGCTTCAGCTTTCAGACTTGATAGCAAGCAAAAATGAACCATAGACATTTCAGAGCTAAATGCTTGTTAATAGTGAGTTCAATTACCTGCAGTAGCAAATCAACTAGAAAATTTGGGTTTTCTTTTACTAACTACCCCTAGACTGGATTCTTCTTTGGCTCTGAGCAAAGCCTGGAGGAGACTCTTTGCATGCCCTAGGGAAGTTTGATTAGATAGCAGTAACCCCTTCGCCTTTGCCCCTTGTCCCCCCTCCCCCCCCAGTATGTGGATGTAGTCCAGTAACCTGTTGCCACTAATTAGCGCTGGTTTCTGGAGGTATGCCAGAGGGGCAGTAGGATAGTTGAGCTACAGTGAGAATGCTTTTAATGCATGCCGATTTAATAAATTGGGCACTGGTATATTCCTGCCAAAGCTGGGCTGTTAACACTTTGGGAATTCCAGTCCTGTGCCAGGATGTAACTGGTGCAGAGAAACACCATTGCAACAACTTTGTCAAACATGCAATTTTTTTTTTTTTCCAATCACTTCTTGATTCAGGAGTGGTTGTCCTGGTTTTCTGCTGGGCCTGCTGAGCTTTCTCTTAAGACTTGGCAGTAGTAGTTGTGCAGAGAGGGCCCAGCAAGCCTGTGGCGATGGTTGCCTGACTTGTTACACCCTGTGGCTCAGAGGATGCCTGAGGCAGAGCTTGGTCAGAAGCGAAAGGTCTTGGTTTTACGTTACGATGGCACCAGGGATAGGATGCCACAGGTTGGGCTGACTTACTTAGCTGCCTCATAAAAGCAGATTTTTGTCTACGCAAGTCTAGATATGCAGCTGCTGTCAGCTATACTTCAAAGTATACACCAGTAGGTTAAGAATGACATTCTGAATTGCTGGAATGTTTTTTCAGTTATTGCCAGGATGTGTGATGAAGAGATGGTTTTGTTACACGTCAGCATCCCAAGTGTTAGGTAAAACTGGGAACTCTGGCTCAACAAAGCCTTTAGCACCCTGAATCAAGCCAGTAATGGTGATATTGTGGCGATGGTTAGGTGGGTCTTTGGGGGTGGGGGTGGTGTTTTCTTTTTGGTTTTGTTGTTTTGAGTGGAGAGGTTGCATGTGTAGTTTTCATGGGTTCGATCTTCAGCAGTTGGCATTGATTGCAGCATTTCCATGCTGGACAAAGATACTGAAATCAGTAAGAACATACTGCAACCTAGTAGAGGAGTCAGCTGGCAGTATCTCCTTGGGTTAACCCAGAAGAGATGGAGTTCTTGGTGTTGGCTGCTGGGCAAATTGAATTATGTTGGCAGCTTGACAAAAGACTGTTCTCTTCTGTTTGTCTCCCTTAGGCCACCAGGCTGGGTGAGGCTTCACACAGTGGCTGGGACCCATTTAATAGCTTGCTGCTACAGGGGGAGAGCGAGCTCCTTTCTGGTTTCCTTCTCTATTTCCTTTGCTCTGTCTTGCATACAGATTTAGAGGATGTGATAAACTAATTCAGCTTAAGTGGCAGAAAACGAAATCTGTCAAAGCTGTATTTTGACAAGCTGGGTAACTGAGTAGCCTTACTGTGCACCTGATGGAGTTTTAGAGCTGGGCTAAGGGGGTGAGGAGTTGGGGTGGAGGAGGGAAGAGCAAGACCCTTCCCTTGGGTAAGTTGAAGAGGTGCAGTTTTCTAATAGGGCCATGGTGAATTACAATTCCTGAAATGGAAGATGGCAGCAGCAATTTTTTATTTTATTTTTAAGCAGAATGGCTGTAAAAATTGTAACATGTCTTTTGTCCTGGAGGCTGATCTTTACTAGATGTGTTCTTTTCTCTCCTAGGTGATATGTGAAGATTTGGGAATTGGAATTGTAGATAAAACATGCACAAATCAAGCTGAAGGCTTTTTTGTTTTTGTTCAGTATGGGTCCTGATCTCTCTCCTCAGATATCCTGCTGTATTGCAAAACTTGATTTGAGAAAGTTTTAAAAGTAGAATGTCTCTATAATTGCATGTTTTTGTGTGAAGAATGCATTGCCTGGAAAATGTCCACTATACTTCCATTGGACCTGAAGCTCCTTCTCACCATCTGAAACATGGTAATTGATACTGCATTTTTAAGTGAGCATATCCTACATAATTCAGAAGAGCAAAATAATTTGAGTTTCCATCATTTTGTTAGTCTGAAGCTTATATCCAAAACTTTGAAGCCAGTTACTTCTACTGTAAACATAACTGCAGAGAACAGTTTGAACTTGCTAGTGTGTCAACAACTATTCACAATCGACTGTCTTTTATGGTAACCTTGTACTAACTTGGTTGCACTGTTTGGATTAAGCACTGGGCTGTCTTTTTCCATTGTGTATGTACAACTGTAAGAATGTCAAGTTATGCATTGTTGTTGTAACTTAATGGCTAAAAGCTCAAATTCCATAATAAATTATGTAGACCTTTTAAAAAGCAATGTCTGATAAGCTTCGGGGTTTTGCTTTCTTTGCTATAATTATGTAAATGGATCTTTACACTCGAGTAGCACAGCACAAAAGATGGGTAGCTAAGGGGGAGATCCTTTCTGCACTGTGTTGGGTTTTCCCCATGTAACCATGGCCAGGTGTGGTGGGTTAACCTTGGCTGGCTGCTTGAGGGGCCTGCCCCCTGCAGCTGCTCTCCCTCCCCTGCCTCAGTAGGACAGGGAAAAAAAAATAAGATTAAAAAACTCACAGGTCAAGAGAAATAGTTACCATTGCAGGCAAAACAGACTTGATGAAGATTAATTTTAATTTACTGCCATTTAAAAATAGAGTAGGATAGTAGGAAAGGATGACAAAACTAAACCCAACTTTCTTTTCCCCTGGTCTTCCTAGGCTCACCTATATTCCTTTACTCCTGCCTCTTCTACCTTTCCCTTCCCTGTGAGTGGTGGCCACAACCTTGCCCTATAAACCCAATGCACTGGGGAATGTGGGAAGCTTCCTTCCTAACAAGCAAACACTGGGGAAGCATACAGCAAATCCTGTAATGAGCCTGGATGTTTTCATCAATGCACAGGCCTCTGGAATTAATGGGCTGTGCTATTTCCCAAGTATAAAAATGTGATAAAAAATTGTAAGATGGCTTCTTGATTAATTTTTTTTAAGTTACAGGACAAATCCAGGGACTGGGGATTTATATAAGGCCGTACAATTGGGAAGGCTTTTGCTAGAGCATCATAGTAGCAACCTACTACTTTCATATTATTTTTGGCATAGCTTAAATTCTTTTAAAGTAATTCTGTAAATCATAAGGTAGATTGCAATGCCTTCAAGCAGTAGTAATCAGTTATTTGATGAAGCATATTACTTTATTATAAGCAGTACCACTAAAAATCTATATAGTTTATTTTTTTTAAACCATGTTTTTGAAGAGGGGTACTAGTACATAGAAGATGGTCAAATTGTGCTTCAGCTTCAGTAGATGTAAAGCATTAAGGTACAAATTCGGTGCACAAGCTAGGTTAACTGTTGCTCTGCTAACTGTTGCTCTGCAGTGACTTAGAGCAAATGTCCTGGATTTTAGAAGGAGTGTCTAGAATTGGACCAGACCTTAAATAAATGCCACTTTAGTTGGCCTCATACATCTTAACTCTGGGAAGCTTTACAAGTCCCTAATGGCTGGAGAAGGCTGCTCATGGGACTTCTTACCAACAGATTATGCTGTGTGAGGCAAGATTTTTTTTTTTCAATGCAAGCAATTTAGGAACTTAGATTAGATTACTTGGAAAGAGAAAGCTAAAAGAGAGTTTTGACCTTGCATTATTGATTTTGCACTTCATAAAAATTTGAGAAGCAGATGCAGATTTAAAACAGCCTTCATTTATCAAGCAGCATGAAATTAGAACTAGCTCGCTTTTCATGTTATTTCCTTTTTAGTCTTGGTGCTTAAATAAGAGCAGCTATTCTCCTATCATCAGCTTAAAGTAATACTTCATCAGATTCTTTCCCCAGGTTTGCCAACACCTGGCATCTAACACCTCAATGGTACTCTGACTACATGCTTTAGAAGGAAGAGGCTGTTTCAATTTTGGGAGCCACAGAGCAGCTGCCTATGCAAGTTTTGAAGTGAGGAAAGGCTCATGACTTCTTAGATTTTTATGGAAGAAATGGGACCATCTTGCCTCAGGAAAACATTCCCACAAGCATGAAGTAGGTGTGGTACTTCAGCTACTGGTGGTACAAGGCCAGTATTCTGGAAGAATTCAGTGATCTTGAAAAGCCAGAGTACCACTCTCAGCCTACAGCACCCAACACTTCATTTCTGCCATGTGAAAAAAAAACCCAACAGCTTTTTTGAGCCATCAGGACCAGCATTTCCTTACTCACCAAAACCAGCACGCATCAGAAGTTATATCCAGCTTCTAGGAAGTCTTGCACAGTAAAGAAAGGGCAAACAGGAACCAGAGTGAGATACTTTGATACAGGTTGACTTTTGGACACAAAGACAGTGAGTGCCAGATTAATGCTTAAATTTGCTGCATATGACCTACACAGCTTAACACACAAAGTAAGGCCCAACACATTCACCAACTCAAGCATGTGTATCAGAAAAAGCATTATTTATTGTTTAAATGCATAAAATGCTATTTATAGTGTATTACATTGTTAATCCAGTGATTTAAATTTAAAATATACAAGTAATGGGTATAGAACACTGGCAGGTTTGGGGTTTTTTTTGCCAGTGATGAAGTGGTTTTATTTCGATGTTTTTGTCTCCGATGGATTTTCCCCAGTGTCTAGTGTCTTCAGCAATCTGAAAAGGCCAGCTGCTTCTCGTATCCGACTGAACTCAATACAGAATGCTTGCACTTCTATAAACAAGTCCTGTACATTAATAATTTTGTTTCTGATTAAAGACTGCAGAAAGACACAAACAAGACGTACCAGGCGGTTCTGAAATAGAAGAGAGATGGTATCATAACCCAAATAAATGTTTGCAACCATGTCAGTTAAACAGCTGTTTGGCCTCAGCAGTACAACTGAGGCATTGCGGGACTGTTTAGCCTCAGCAGTAGTCTTCCTCCCTACTTTCCTACTTCCCATACTGCTACCGTATTTAAAAAGTGGTCTCCTCTGCTTTATAGTACTTTACTTACGGGCACAGGAGCTTTCTCAAGATTAATCCCATGCACCAAGTGAAGCACCAGATCTACATATGCACTGTACTTCATTTCTTTATTATGTAATCTCCAAATAAAGTCAGAGAGAGGGGATCATAACCCACGATGATGTCATCACTAGGGTCACCCCTCTTGCTTAGTCTTATTTTCTACTGTAACACCAGAAAGAAAAATGAACAAGCTTCACTTCTCAAAATTCCCCAGTCACTATGTGTTTAAGGCACTCCAGCTGGGAAGTGTCCGCAGCAGAACTGATCCCAAACTTGCTCTGTGGGAAACGCTCTGTCCCTGAATTACCACATGACCCTGTTCCTCTAGCTTAGAAGGACAGCACCAGGGACATCTAACCCAAGACAACAGTTCCAAGCTCATGGCTGAGAGCTGTGATTTTCCACCTGCTCCAGTGAGAAGACGGAATCTCAGAAGCATTTCTCCTTCCTAAGGGCTGCTCAGGCAACACCTTGCAGAGCACGCTGGGAAGCGGAGACCTAGGAACTGGCACCTACAATTTGTCATACACAGATCCAGTCACTAACCCTCTGCTTTACACAGAGTACATTTTTCCTCAAGGACAAAAGCAGATCTTACTTACCACTAAAGTGGTCTCATAGTTCACATTGTGAAAAAGAGTGGAAACCAAGCCCCTCTCTAAAAGCAACTGTATACGTGAACGATGTTTATCAGACAGAACTGAGGGGGCTTGATAAGTAAGTGCCCAAAGTATTTTAGACACTGCAAATAAGCTACCAACTATTTTTTACAGGAACTGAGCTTACTACTGCAAAATTTGCTACCTATACCAAGAGAATTCAGAAACTGAACAAGTTATTCACTACAATCAAAAGGCATCACATGTTTTCTCTGCAACACAAATTCAGTTACAAGAGTAATAATTGAGGAACGTGAAACTCAGAACAAAAAAACAAATGCAAGATGCTGGCTGACTCCCAACCTTTGAAGATTGTGCCTCTCTCACATCCAATAGGAGTGGTTTTGTACCATGCTTTTCAAATAGAACACCTTGTGGCTCAGTTGCTGTAAGGCCTCATACACAGTAGTAACAAATGCTGCTTGGTGATCAGCGTGTGTTCCTCGACCCTCTGTTCTTTTTCATCCCCCATGAGCCTGAAGCACAGCTGCTATATGCTCTCAGCACCCCCACTGAGCACGGTGTCCCACTCCGCAGGCATATTCTCAGCTGCAGCCCAGGTCTGCTGCTATTTTTCCTTACCTGCTACCAAATGCAATAGGCACGGCTATGCAGCAGGTCACAGATCAAGCTACCCATGTGTACCTGGCAGAGGCCCAAAGCAGAGAAGCATCAGCAGCCACCAAAAGATAACATGGTTAGTCTTTATCTGGAAGTGTACTAAGATGATGACAGAGGCATTTGTGCTGCTACCACATTGCACACATATCCTGCTAGAGAAAGCACTAGATAAGGACACCAAAACAAGCTTAAGGGAAAGGAGCAGCTGCCTTGTTGCAAGAGACTAAAGAAGCTGCAGTCCTTCAGTGTCGAGAGGAAAAAGCTGAGGCAGGGCTTGGTCAAGATTCACAAAGCCTTGGGTAAACTGAACATGGAACTGTTTTTCACCAATGACAAATCCAAGAAAACAAGTTCTACTGGGCACTTGGTGAAACCAGCAGACCAGTTTAGGATAGAAGGAAGTACCTCGCACAGCGTGTAGACAACCGTGTGTGCCAAAGGTGTGGGAAGCTCCCCAGGGGGTAAGGATCCTTGAAGTTGCTACAACTTGCATGCTGGTACTGAGGAAGTATGACAGGCTTGGGAAGCAGCAAGTTCAGTGGGGTAGACAGAAAACAGAAGGGTTTTAATGTCTTTGAGACCTGCCAGCTGTTATAGGTTGGTAATCCTCATGACTGAAGGGCAAGACTTCCACGTGAGTTTTTTAACATCACCTCAGAGGTCCAGAAATGGTGGGCACGCTTGTACAGAAAAGAAACTTGAAGCTTAAAACTAAGCAGAAGGCAAAAAACTAATGCCAGGGGTGAAGAAAAGGCACACTGAGTGACAGATAAACCTTCTGCACATAAGGACCCGAGTCACATAAAACTGCAGTTTTGCCATGGAGAAGTGCATTATGTCTACAGAAAAACAGGGAACCTATCAAGTCTTGTAAAAAAAGGCAAAGAAACATCTGTTAAACACTATAAAGAACTGCATAGTGTGTTAGGGAAAAAAACCCATGCCTTTGAAATAAAGCAGCAGTAAGACAGAATAACTTAATGTTACCAGCCTTATACAATCTCGGCACATATTATGCAGAGCAATATATGGGACCCTTTTTTCCTAACCAATTTACCAAAGTACTCACCTGCATATACTTGTCTTTAATCTGTTCACAGGTGGAGATACAATTGGAGATATAAAGATGAATAAATTCAGGTGGGAGATCAACTGCAGTAGTAAGCCTGTTCAAATTAAAAATATCCAGTAGTTTATGAAGCCATAAATTATAGTGATTCTGTTGCAAAACAGGTGAGTTAGCTGGCAAAAAAAACTAGTATCACAGGTCTGTGTCATACAGAGCTGCTAACTGACAGCTTCCACAGATGTATTTCTAATAATTTAAATTTCTTCATTACAAGTCCAAAACTTTTTTTAACTCTGACACAGTACAGAAGCTGAGTTAGTTAGATTGGTTTCTAGTATATTTGATACACCTACAAATACCTGCTATGTATTACACAAATGAGTCAATGACACTAGTTTCCAGTTTATGAGGCAGCCCCCAAGCTGTCCGTGTATCAAGATTCTCCTGCAATAAGCACTGCAATACAATTTTGCTTATTCATATTTGAATTTCAGGTAATGAAGCTAGATGCTGAACTCCTTCCTTAAGCATGGAACTAGAATAACTCCTTTGTTAAGGCAAAAGATCAGTTTCCTTAGTTCCTTCAGATCCAAATTTTAGTCCCAGGAACTGAAACAACATGCATACCTACAGCTCAAATAAAAGAGACCCTGACTAGATTAAAATGTTAACTAGAGATTAATGATGTATGATAATCTCAGAAGCTTCTTAGTACAAAAGAATTGAAGAACTGTTGCATCAAAGACTGGTATTAGTGTTATTTTTAAGGGTTAACAGCAAAGCACACCTACTTGTGGTTTAACAATACCCAACTATTAAAGTATTTGAGCTGCCACTGTTTCTTGATTGAAAAAGCAATACAGCTCTCTAGGTAGGTAACACACTACATGTAGAACTGCCATAAAGTTACAGCAGAATCTGACCAGAGTGACTGATCACAGCCCTATCTCAAGTAGTGAAAAGGGGGGTGGGAATCAGGGAAAACAGTACACGTTTTAGACTTTTCAGTTTCAAGTTTTTGTCTTATTTCACTTAACAAAATCAGTGTCCCCCTATTTGTACTGACAGTCATTTTGCAGTTGAGAAAAGCTGTTCCTATGGAAGTTATGCTGTGGAAGAACCAGCATGCTTGACTGGTGGTGTAGGTACCCTGGACAGAATTAAAAGCTCTTTTCTTACCACTATTTCTCCATACTGTGATCGCTAGCCCAACTTCAGGACAGTAACTGCTGTCAGTCTGCACCAGTAGGGTGGGATTTATTACAGAAATGTTTTTCCTCAAATGATATTTAAGGTGCAGTTCAACTCTGCTGCAAAGAGACTGCTGAGCAAGGCTGATTTGGTAGTCCACATTGCCAAGAAATGGAAGAAAGTAAGTGGGAGAGATTTACTTCTGTAGTTTGTGGGGATTAGCAGTCTAGAGAAGTTCTCCCATTGAAGGGGCTAGCATTCCATTATGGAAATGGGCTGTACCTATATGCAGAAGTCATTCCCGATGAAGACAGGGCATGTACATAAAGCAGGATGGCTATTTACCAATGCCACCTTTTGCTTGCTTAAGCCACATCAAGACTGCGAGTTGTGTTTAAGCAGATCAGCTGTTCACTTTTTGCGGAGGACTCTCAGAATAACTGCCCTTTGCCCCACTGTAGGCTTCTGTCTTCCACACAAGCATACCTCAAGAAGGATCAAAACGAACATTTCCAGGTGTCCTAATAAAACACAACCACTACCTCAGTTGAAAGAGAATAGAGAAGCCAGACATGAGGCTAGTTTTTAAGATGTGAGAAAAGAACGTGAATTCTTCATCAGGAATGACTGGATTGTGACCCGTTAGAGGGAGGGACAGTCACTACAGTGACAAAACCATACACATCCAGAACTGGTCATTTTGCAAGTCAGTAACTAAGCTTGCAGCTTCCTGGGACATAGGACAGGTACTTGCTAGTGAAATTTATGTATTAACCAGAAACCTGATGTCTGAGTAAAACTTCAGGCACCCTATAGATTGCAGTGACAGGCTCCCTTAAGTGGTAACTACTTTAAATACTGTTTTGAGCTGAATGTATCAAACAGTTTGATAAAGTGATTTTCTAGTAGTTACCAACTCCAGATGAAGTTATCCACAACACAATATGCATTTCCCCATTGTTTTCCAAGTAGAAACACTTTGCTATTATTAAAGAGTAACACAGTGTGTTCTGTCAACAAGCCCCTCCATTCTTGGAGCAGGGAATGAAAGATTAGCAACATAGCACCTGTTCAAGAAATGTGCTTTTTACCATACCTAATATGTTAAAATATGGTATGTTATAAATAATTAATATTAAATTACATTAATTTTAGTGAAATATTTTGTTTTAATTATATAAAATTATAAATATTTAATATAAAATGTAATATATATGCCTCCACCATCACATCTTTCTGCTGGGAAACTGTGGGTGTTTTTTCCCTGGTAAGCTGCAGTTTTGCTACTACTAAGAAGAAGCTGTTAACATTACAGTAATATTTTAAAATAGCTTTGCTGTAAAAAGGAACTTAAAAATTGGCAGCATTCTCTGAACTTAGTACTGAAGATGTTCAAGAGGTTCAATTCTTTATTACCAACCCACAGCTAACTTTACCAACTTAGTCTGGACTAAAATAAGAGGGTTTTTTCTTTAACTGCAGGCACCAGCAACAAGGAACTACATGAAAAGTAAGTAAAGCCTTTAGGAAAGGAACAGTCCAGTAGTTGTAGAAAGCAACAAAAATCCACAGCACTCTCTTCCTCTGCAGGATTAATCAGAGCACAGGAAGTCTTATTATTAAAAGAGTATTAAAAAAACCTGCAACACTGCAAACAGCATAGAGAAATTGAAGAGGGAATGATAGTTTGATACTCCCTTCCTTCACTGTAATCTAACTAGTCATTTCTTCAATTCCAGTTACTTCTGGTAGTCTCTGGAATGTGTTAAAATACAGCTCTGTGGCCAGCCTCACAATCACTTAATAACTGTTCAGTCGTTTATTTTACATACTTAACGAAACCTTCTTAGATTTGAGACAATACTCACCGATTTACAACTTCCATTGAATGTAAGGACATGTCCATGTTGACCAAGACAGAAAAATACTCTGTTATCTGACTAGACTGCATCAGTTTCAGCAACATTTCTATAGCTACTAAAGGATTGTTTTCAACCAGGTCTGGCAATTTGGCAGGAGTAAGACCAATATGGTAAACAAGCTTGGGGTCCTTTTCCAGTTCTCCAAGGAGCTGTAAAGAGGAAGAAAAAAAAAAAAAAAAAAAAAAAAAAAAAAAGACTCAGGTTTCTTTTTCTTAACTATTCACATTACTGCTTGAAGAAACTGCTGTAATACATCTAAGCTATAGGAGAATGACAACCCTTCAGAATTAGGCATCTCTATTGAAAGACACCGGAGGTATACTTTGGAATTTCTATGTAAAGGCAACTGTGCCCATAAAACCTTTAATAAGGCATTTGGCAGTTTTCCATCAGTGCGTGGCAAGGAAGGGAGGCAAAAAAGCCACGAAAAGTTTCAGCTTTCTTAATTTCCTGTCCAGCAGGAAGAAACCTCAATTTCAGGTTAATTGTTGTCACAAAAAGTTCTGCAAATAAAGGATATTTTATAGTGCTAGCATAATGATTACCAAAAAAGCACACTGAAATCAGGAGTAATACTACCAAACCGGGGGGAGGGAAATCTGTGTTGGCATTTCTGAAATAATTCCTTATCAAAAACTTCCAGAAAAGCACCAGCAATTTTGTTACAAGATTTTTCCATGCAGAAAAATACTGGTGCCACTAACTGATCAGCTGTAACTATGTCCAATCAACGCTATAAAATTTAAAGATTTCTTCCTTATTCTTACAAACCCAAGTAAAAACTCCTGGGTTTTTACAATTTAAAGTCCTTGGAGTTTCCTGAATTCAAACACAGATCAATTAAAGTGATCCAAGTTTTCTAGAATACATGAGTGAAGAGACAGCTTGTTAGAAAAATAATTTTAGACAGAAAAGTGCATGATACTTACCTGTGTTTGCTGTGGGGAAGTCAAGGGACTTTTAAAAGCTTTTGCCATGATTCTTTTTATCTCAACTCCAGTGCTGTTCTTAACGCACATTGACTTATCCCACTGAATTGTGTGATCTGGCTCTATGGGATTTAACCATGCCAATTCATCCTCACATATATGGAGCGGAGGCGGCGGTCGAATAAACTCTGGTCGAAAGTGACCTAAATGGCAACAAGGTGAAACTGTTTTTATGCTTCAGATATTCCGTTATTATTACGTCAATACAAAAAGACTACCCCTGAAGCCCCCATTTCTTTAAGCTCTTATAACACTGAGAACATCATTACAATCTTATTTGCCTCCCCTAAAAGTCTGGAAATGCGAACACTATGAAGCCTGATCTGGAGACGGCCTGACAGTTTTGCACTGTTTCATTCATCTTCATTCCCATTTCACACCTTGAAAATACTTCTGAATCGTATTACACTTCATCTGGAGAAGTATAACAACATAGCATGTCATGAGTTACAGAAACAAAGATGTGAAAACGCACATACTTTCTATAGGAGGTTTTGGTCCACTCACTAAGGCTTCTGTGATCTGGGAGGCAACGGAGCTGTCAAAACCGGAGTTGGAAGAATCTGGGTCAGGATCGCTGAGAATGCTGGGGAAGCTGGCCTTGCTCTGCGTTGGCAACTCAGACTGACGTTCTGAAAGAAGGCCAGTCCATAATATTAAAGCATAAAATTGAAACAGAGATGCCTGGAATACTAAAAGCAGTGAGAAACAAACAGATTTAGAGAAGAAATAGCTTAAAAAACAACAGATAACATCAACATGAAATTTAGTACTGGGCCAGGCAGCTAGTCCTCAGAGTGCCAGCTGACAGGCAAGGGACAGAGGTATGCAGCAAGGATAAAGAAGAAATAGAAACCAATCTGAAACATAGCCTTGGCTTTAGAAAAGGTACGTAACTGATGTAATCTGCATCTAAAAGCACATTAGCAGGTTCACATGGTACTCCTAAAAGAGTTCACATGCTGTATCTAGTTTTGCAATCACTTCTCAGAGCAGGGAAGTGAAAAATCTCCACAGACATTTACAGGCTCCACAATGATAATGGTCACACTAGACCTGAAGTCAGCTATTCAAGTTTACCCAACACATTTCAGTGGCATTGCGTAAGCTACTTTTGCATTCGCTGTCAAGCTGCAGCAAATACTTCTGTGGAAAAAGATGGAGTTTAACTGTTATGTGATTCTGCACACATCGTTGTTAAAGCAAACCTAAGAGGTGCTGAAAGTGTCCCTTTAAAGACCAAATTACGGAACATAAACAAGTTACATAAAAATAGTATTAAATTTAGTATATACAGCTGAAGGCTTGAAGACCATGGGGCTCAATACTCGCATTGTAAGATTTTTAGGCATTCTTTTCTCACAATCTATCACTCTTCTGTATCTGAAGACTTAATGGCTGATTCTCTGTATTATTTTGAGAGATCATGTTTTCCACTGCTTTGGCAAAAAAAAAAAACCCAACCAAAAAAACCCCGCAAAACAAACCCCAACAGACAAAAACCAGAAAGGAAAACAACTCCAGAACATCACCTTATACTTCCCCCCCCCCATCCACAGAGGGCATTAAGCAGTAGATTAAGTAATCTAAAGTCAAAAATTCTTGATACCACACAAGGAATCCCTTGAAAAAGTTCCACGCGAAACTGAACACTGCTGCTTTTTCTGACTAATTAGGCGTAGTTCTGTCAGATTTAGTGTACTGTCCCTCTCACTTCTAAGCAAAGCGTGCTTGCTCCTTTTTGTGCAACTACGTTGACCTTTCCCAGCTTCTCATGTGCATGACTATTTCATATGACTCCAACCAAATCCACAAGAGATGCTGAAACTGCGGGTGACAAAAGGATCATCAAAACAAGGCACCACCCATTGCTATTTTCTTTTTTGGCTTTCTGTCCTACTTTATCCAATTATTTCAGATCATGCAAACATTTGCATATATTCTCACTGAAGCAGCACAGCAGGGTGTGTTTTTCTGTGAAAAGGTAACAACTGTCATACTTTTCAGTTGTTTTCAAAAAAAAAAAAAAAAACAAACCCAAAATCCACACCACAATTTTAAAAGTCAAAGTCCAAATGAGCTGGCTTATAAAACATGTCTTTGACTTTATAGACTGTTTCAAACTCCAGCTTGTGAGCACTTTCATTTAGCGACTGAACAAAGGGTTGATTTAACAAATTAAGCTTTGTGAAAAAAAAATTATATATTAGGCATCTTTTTTCAGTCATTTTATTTATAGTCTAGAACTTAAATCTATCAGTTGGTATAAGCAAATCACTGATGTGTTTGTATCCCCATAATCTCAAATGATCAATGATACTTAATTAGAAATAAAAGTTTAAGACACAGTCCCTCATTTCAGAAGCGAGCCCTTAGTTATATGCATTGGTGCTCAAAAGCTCACCCTCACTGCTTCAAGAATTAGGGCTGGATCAACAGTTCCAGGTAAGCAGAAGCGAGAATTAAAACACACTGATTTAACAGGTGATAATGTAGCATCTTGAACTAAGACATTTAAATTTTTTAAAATGAATCTGCAAACAACCACTTAGGTTCCCTTATGGAGCTACTTTTTTCTTCTTTTTACCTGTAAAAGGACACTTTCTTTGATTCTCAAAGGAAAGCTCTGCAACTTATTATAAAGTTAACTTTAATACAGGTCAATTACCCTTAAATCTAGTAAGGGTTAGCAGGCAGTTATGAGCACTTTGCCAAAAGACCCTGCAACTAGGTAGGAGAAAGTGACATTTTTTATATGGTAACACACCAGATGAACAAAACCAAGCTACAGGGAGAGACCGAGGCTTGAATGAACATTCTGTAGACCAAATGGTGAAGAGAATAAATCAAGCTTTAATACTCATTCCCAACATGCTCTATTCCAACACTCTACTTTGGGGAGGGGGGGGAGGAACCAAAACAAAACAAAAAACCAAAACAAACCCAAAAAAGAAAACCGCACCCAGAAAAAACACTATGTGGTTGCAAGGGAATTGTCACAATGAGCTCAAGCTGAGAAAACAAGCGAAGTATTTCTTCCTCCCTTTACAAAAAAAGAATTGGTATAGATACACTGGCTGAAAAAAATGTCATGCTTTCTAAACTATTTGGGTTGATTTGGCAGGTACATTCTAAAGCAAGTCAGAAAATCATCCTGCTCTAAATAGCCCTAAATTCATCTCAGGGACCACAATTTTGAAGGGCCACCAAGTCTTACAGCTGTTATGTTCTACGAAATGTGGGAGGCAAGGGTAGAAATGCAACCCCTTGAACACTGTCTCTAAGCACCATAATACAAGTATTTATGCACTGTCAGTAGCACAGCTTCATCCTGCATGTTGAATCACTAAGAGAAATATACTGGAAACTGAAAAATTCACAGACCTTCTGAAACATAACAAAGAGACAGTCAAGAAGCATCACAATATTAAAATGAGCAGAAAACTTACCTTCTAAGAAAGCAAACAGAAAGCAGACATTTATTCTTGGGGTTCACTACATGTTTAATTTTTAATGAGAACAAACTGTTCAGAAAGCAAACAGTACCAAGGGGAAAACAAACAAAAACAAATTAAAAAACCTCCACGCTTCTTTAAGGCATCGCATATGCCTTATGCTAAAAATCACAAGTTATCTGAAGTTTCACAAAATCTGAATTCACAAAAATCTTCTAGAAAACACAGACAGGATGAACAGAACAAGAACCAGAAGGGCTTGTTTCCCCCTTGAAGGTATGTTAGGGTATTCAATTTGCATTTTCAAAAGGACCCACAGTCTGGAAATAATAGCCGAGGAGGACACCAGAGGGCATCTGTACACTGTGAACAAGCCAGTGACAGACTCCACAAAAAAAACGGAGGGTACCGAGAGACAACTGCAGGACCAAGAAAGCCTAGTTAGTGCCTGACCTCAGAGCAGTAAACCACATCGTACAGATATAGAAGTGGGATGGTCAGTTTTCAAGCAAGTAGGCCCATTTGCACGTACCTAGGAAAAAAACACTATTTTTTGCTGTCCAAACTGGCTCCTTGTTCCCAACAATATTCTCTATTTCAGATTAGCTCCAGATGTGACTCATCAGTCAATGTGATCAGAACAATCATGTTCCCGCTCCTTTTCTCCTGTCAAAGGATAAGCATCACATTGCTTTTCTTTCCAATCCAGTAAAAGTAGACCACCTGCCCACTCCTGAGCTAATGCTGCAAGATCTGACTTTATTTTATAAAACTGAAGATATAATTGGAATAGCCAATTTGCCAGGTGCAGCTGAAGTACTGGTACGTGACAGCATGACAGTTATGCTATGTTCTCTTATACTAGAAATACTGCAAAGAGCAAAAAGGGGTAAAAATACACACACACACACAAAATCACACCCCACCCCCCCCAAAAAAAAAAAAAACCCACAAAGCTTCAGATGAAAATATTCCTATGCTTGCAAAATGTTCTCATGTTTAAGGCAGTATCATGTATGCTTAAAAAGCAGCTGGTTAATTAGGATAAAACAGCTAAGGCCTAATCTCTGCTTGAAGTTTCTCTATGTGCTTGAACATGGGCTCGAAGACCCTAAAGCATAGTTCAACCTTTTTCATATGTAGGATAGATAAGAGTGTTTCTCAGGTAACTCACAGCCACACTACAATTAGTGCTTCCGTTCGTAACTGAACCACAGCCACAAATCTTCCTTACCTGCTAATGCCAGCTGAAGCCCGCTTATATCCACTGACTGGGCCATGTTCCCCACGTCCATTGAAGCTATCTGCCGAGGAGTCTTCTTGAACAGTTCTCTAGGGGGGGCCAACATCAGCTGAGAAAGAAAGAATTTTTCTGGAGGAGTTATGGGAGGCAAGAAGCCTGTGGAGACACAATGGAAAACAATCCCCGATTTTTAAGGCAGTAGCATTAATGGTTTCCATACGCTTCACGTAGAACAAGCAAAAATAAAACGCAGACTAACATGTTATTTGTGGCAAGATCAGTGGAACTGAAGAGTCTTTGCGAGTACATACAAAACTGCTACCTATTCAGCTCCGAAAGTGATATAAAAAGTGTTATACTGATCGGTATCACGCACCTCGCCATGCGACGTCTGATTCTCAGTCAAGTCATGGCGGTTTCTCTCCAAGCTTTCTAATTTGGGCAACTAGTGAGCTATTAAATATGACCAGACGTTGCATGTAGGTCTGTAAGTACCTACATACTGTAGGTCAGTAAAGTAACTCTCTGAGAAACCGATTTACCCATCACTGCCACGCTTGCGTTCACTCAAGTGGGAAAAAGGTGTTTTGCTCTCGCATACTTCTCCAAGCGGTTTGTTCCACAGCCTGAAAGCTGTCCTCTAGGTTCTCCTAAGGGCCTTCTCCCCCAAATTCCGTGATACGGTCCAACCGAGCGGCCCACCTGACACCCAGCCTAGAGACGCCTGCCTTGGAAAAACCCCCACCACTTCTTCCA